TTGTTATATGGGCTGTATCTAAGACGTTGCCATGCTAAATAACCCTTGCTGAACCTCTTTTCGTCTCCGCTTTCCTGTCTTGGGTGGCTACAGTTCAGTGGTGCAGAGGAAGAGAAGATCAAGCAGGCAGTGGGGACATTTTGCAGTAACCAGCCTTTTGCTCTGGAGATCATCAAGACCAAGCAGAAGAAAGATTCGAGGTTTATCTCATTCATTCAGGTACTGTGCTCAAATAGTGCTCAGACAATGTACAGCACCAATATTTTAGCTCGTAAAATGTCTGGTTGGATTTTGTGCTAAATCAATTCTCATAATGTGGGGAAAGGCTTGTAGCTCTAAGAGGTTTGTTGTTGCTCAGATGTTTGAACTAAATTTAGCATTTGTATGTACTAGTTCAATTTTGCATAAATGCACAGAAACCTTTTATTTTGCCTGTTTACAGGAGGCAGAAAGTAACAGACTGTGCCGCAGACTGCAGCTTAAGGACATCATTCCTGTAGAGATGCTCCGTCTTACAAAATACCCCCTGCTTCTAGACAACATCGTCAAGTACACAGGTGAATTATTGCTGACTCCTCCGTTTTTTTTTTAGCAGTCTACAGAGACAAGTGAATTGATCATGTGTAAATAATTTGTATTCAATAAACTATTGCCCCACAACTAGTGCTACTTACAAACAGGAGAGTAACAATTAAATAAAAAGAAAAATAGAGCAGGGAGATAAGTTTCTGGACCTTTGGGAGAGGATTGGTACAGCTACATCTTTTTAAACGATCATGCAAAAATCTATCATAATTTCTCATTTGCATGTAAAAGTCTTTCTCTAATCTAGTTTAATAGGGACAAAGAAAAAAATTGAATTTCACAGAAACACTTGTTAAGTGCGGGGTCCTTCTAGGCGATGTGCCAACTATTAATTATAACAGAGACTAATGTAGAGATTATTATGATAATCAGAGGACGACGAGCGCATTACATGAATTGTGGCACCCATTATTTGGTCTAACATTATGGCCTTGGCTTAGGTCTGGTTTTCAAAGCAGGGAAACACTATTGATAACGTATGTCCAGCTATTAAAGGAGCATAATGCATCTTCGGCTTTGTCTTAATTTTTGAGAATTATGGCGTGTTAATGGACAGAGGAAATATCCATTTTTTGGACAGCTCCCCTCAGAACTGAGCAGGCCTTATTGCTTCATGTCATATTTTACAGAGAATGTAATGGAAAAGGACAAAGTCAGGCAGGCGGCAGACTGCTGCAGGAAGATTCTCACTCATGTCAACCAGGCTGTGAAGGAATCTGAGGACAAACAGGTATTTTTTCTTCAATATTTTCATTTTTATTAGTCCTATTATTATTTTACATCTCCTCTAATCAGACTCATAATTACACCTTCCTCTTTCTTCTGCCATATTTGGCCTCATATTTTGCCTAGACCGGGGATTCCTCTCAGAGTACTCGCTTATCCTTTTTCCCTATGTTTTTCTCCTTTACTCTAGAGGTTAGAAGACTATCAAAGAAGATTGGACCTCTCGTCTCTGAAGCAGACAGACAACCCCATGATCCTCGAGCTAAAGGTGAGTTATCTGCACAAGCATTACAGCCTCAGTTAAAGTGTTCTCGGTACTAGCAGCACCCCCCCATATGTTGTCTGAAATATGGGCGAGATAAAAAAAAGAAAAGCACAATGTGAAAATGGCCCAGTGCACCAGTATCTAATACCTACTTTTATTTTTCCTCCCATTTCTCATCTGTCAGAACCTGGATCTAACCAAGAAGACGATGTTGCATGAGGGTCCCCTGTCGTGGAAGGTGAACAAGGACAAGACTATTGGTTCGTAATCATTACTTTGTTACAATTTGATTACAGGTGTGTCGCTCATACAGTAGAGCTGCCTACTTCAGTTTAAGTCTGTTTGACAGGGTAGACATGCACTCTTTCTGTCTGGTTTCAGAGTTGTACACGCTCCTCCTGGAGGACATTCTGGTTCTGCTGCAGAAACAGGACGAGCGTCTGATCCTGAAGTGTCACAGCAAAAACCTGTCGGGCACCGCAGACACCAAACACATCTTCAGCCCCATCATCAAACTCAGCACTGTGCTAGTGCGTTCTGTGGCTACAGGTGGGTCAACCTTAAATCAAAACTGCTTTAGACTTTGCGGTCACTACATGGAATAAGCTGTTACAAATGTTTGCATCAAATCTCACCCAGCTCGTGTTTCTTCTCTCCCCCTAGACAACAGATCGTTTTTCGTCCTCTCCATGTCAGACAATGGTGCCCAGATCTATGAGCTAATGGCACCCACAGTTTCTGATCAGAAAACGTGAGACCAACTTCCTTTTGTTTGATGTATTTGGGTTTTACTGATTCATTTGTTGAATAGGCTAATAAGTCAATATTTGTCCTCTTGCACTAGGTGGCAGGCTCTGATTTCCCAGAGAGCAGACGTCATTAAAGTCAAGCCCCACAGCGTCATACCTTTACCTCAAACTGAGTACGTTTCTTTCTGCTTCTTTCTGTGACTGAACCATAATTGATGTTACTCTGGGTTTGGGTTTGTTAATAAACCTAAGTTTTTGCTTGTGTGTCAGTGGGGAGAGGGATGGTGTGGAGATCATAACGGCAGGGGTTTCCAGGTTGAGTAGAGACCCAGACCGCACATCCACCGGCAGCACTCAGTCCACAGGTGACTTTCTAAAATGCATTTTTAGTCCACAATGCTTGAGTGTTATCAAAAAGACAACAGTGAAGACGATCATCCTCTGATAAATGTCATTGCTTGTCGTCAGACAAAGAGAGCAGTTCAGCCTCCAGAGGAGCTCTGCAGAGTTCCCTACCCAGTAGCAACCCATTCGAGGAGGTGAAGGCAGATGAGGAAGAGGAAGAGGGATTTGTTGGCCCAGAGCTAGCTTATCAAGTAGCGGAGAACAGCAGAGGAGACTCGTTTGATGTGTTTCCCTCCAGGGCAGACGAAGCTCTGAAAACATGTAAGTACGCTGAAACATAAATTGAAGCCAAGCCAAGCACTGATTTGCTAAATAAAAAAACAAAAACAATCATCACTGTACTTTCCCTCAGTGGCTGCATTAAAGCAGGTGCTGGTGACCCAACTGATGTCCCAGGGGGCAGCAGAGCAAACCAAACGCCCCTCAGGGGCCCGTCTCCTCAGGACCACCTCTCTGCGGACTCCAAT